ACAAGTAGTTTCTCATTAAACAGTCAGTACACATATTGTTTTATGACATTGGTTAACAACCCCACGACATGTCAACACTCTCCCTTCTTGACCTTGGAGGACCTTTTTTTTGGTGAAAATATACACAGCCAAAGTTACACCATTTCAGAAGTTTCTACATGTACAAATCAGTGACATCAATTACATTCTTCCAGTTGTGCTGCTATTCTCACTATCCTTTTCCAAATTATTCCATCATATAACAGGTGAATCTTAAACAGCATTTAGACAGTGTAGTTGGAGTATCAATAATACCCTGATCAAACTGCATACATATAGAACAGCACATAGGATATATAAGCTATACTTTAAGGTGTCAGAGTTCTGAGCTACATTTGTAACGCCTTTGAAATGTGATTTCAGGTAAAACATGGCTACTCCAAGAGAGTCTGGTGTACACTGATAGGAAAAACATTGTATTATTTTCGTAGTCAAGAAGATAAGGTATGTATGCATTTTTTACTATGCTAATTAGAGAAAATGTTTTGTTTGTTATGGCTTAAAGTTTTCCCTTTCACTCTTCTGTTGCTTGGTAAAATTTTAGAGTTTTTAATAAGGTTGAAATTTTGCATAAAAGCTGTTACTGAGATAATCACATACCTATCACCTGCAAGGGTCTTGACTCTTAATCATATGCCTTAGCAGCTTTTAATTAATGCATCTTCTTAGACCTAGAAAAGAAAAGTCTTCCTGTACTCCACCCCTAACCATCAATTTCTCATATTTTCTCAGGTTCTGACAGACTAGATAAGGTTGGAAGGAGGGAACAGCAAAGCAAGCTAGGAAGGAAGAGTTGGGGAGGAAAAGGAATCCAGTCTTGTCCCAGGCCCTCAGATTCCTAGACACCACTCAGGTGTCCATCCGTTTGCTTATTTATATACTGTTTATTCATTTTTAAACTAATCCTCTCCCCAAGAGAACTTGAGTTATCTTCACTTTCAGAGTAAAAAGATGGGACAACTCCAAAGGTGAAATGTATGCCCAGTTACCATTATGAGTAGTCCATGTAACCTTTGATTCCTGAAACTATAAAAACTGTGCCAGCATGTGCCAAGAATATTTGCATAAAATAATGATGTCCACCCGACAGAATAGCACCCTGTGACTGATTAGTGTTAATGAGGCTAAACTTCTTAGTTCAGCCCTCATGGATCAGTTAATATTTCTCTGTTCCATTTTTATAAACTGCACTCTCAATTCTGACCAGCTGTATTTAAAATGCCCCATTATTCCATCTAAGAAACATCTTACTGGTCCCACCCCATCTGGAGCAAAGAAGAATGAAAAAAACCAAAGACACAAGGGAAAGATGAGTCCAGAGGATTAATGGACCACAACTCCCACAGCCTCCACCAGACTAAGTCCAGAACAACTAGATGATGCTTGGCTACTACCACCAACTGCTCTGACAGGGATCACAATAGAGGGTCCCGTACAGAGCAGGAAAAAAATGTAGAACAAAATTCAAACTCACAAAAAAAGACCAGACTTACTGGTCTGACAGAGACTGGAGAAACCCTGAGAATATGGCCCCTGGACACCCTTTTAACTCAGTGCTGAAGTCACTCCTAAAGTTCACCCTTCAGCCCAAAATGAGACAGGTCTTTGAAACAACCAATAACACACGTAGTTCAACCATGTATACAAGACTAAATGGGCACACCAACCAGGAGCAAGGTCGAAAAGACAGGAAGGGACAGGAAGGCTGGACGAATGGAAATGGGGAACCCGAGGTTGAGAAGGGGAGAGTGTTGACACATTGCGGGGTTTGTAACCAATGTCACAAAACAATTTGTGTATTAATTGTTTAATGAGAAACTAATTTGCTCTGTAAACTTTCACCTAAAGCACAGTTTAAAAAAAACGAAAACATTTTTTCCAATATTGCTGATTGGATGGAAATTGACAGAGTGCAGCCATTAAAAACAATTCCTCTGGAAGAATTATAGTAATGTGTGAAATGCTCATGTGAAAATGCTAAATGAATAAGCACAATACAAAATTGTGTAATCCTGAATAACTTACCAGTCAGGAAAACAGAAGCCACACTGTGTATTCCAGGTACAAAAGTTTTAATACAGAATTAGGGACATGTATAACTTTTGGGAAAGTGAGGGGAATGGAGATTAGAGAAGCCGCCACTGTAGGTCAGAGAAGTCAGCACCAAAGATCTCAGCCCAAAGCAATGAAGCAGGTGGTCCTTGAGAATTTGCCAGGAAGCCTCTGTGAATCTCACATCAGCCCAGGCATCTGACTGCAACTGTCTCAGGCGCGTAGTGACTTCCCTTTCACTCCTACCTTCCACATCCTGTGCAAATTCTCTCCTAGGCAAACTCGAACCTGAAACCATACAGGGAAGAGGATTCTAGCAAATACAGTTCCCACCTCCTCTTCTGCAATTACAGGGAGACTTTACAAGAGGGTGGTCAGGATGCTGAGTTTATAACTCTTCATCCAACACATCTGTCAGCTGTGCATAGCAGAAAGATTGGAAAGAACTATGCCAAAATGTTGAGTGATTATCGTTGATGATAGAATTATGGGTGATATTTTTCTTCTTTTTTTAAATGTATCTTTCTGTACTTACCAAGTTTCTATAATAGGTATGTATTGTTTTTAAAAATAGAAAAATAATTTAATAAAAATGGATACTGTTGGTTGCGAAAGAAACAAACGAGAAGAATGTAGATGAGAGAGCATTATAGTCCATTATACTCACTGGAGAAGTATTGAGAATACATGTGAATCAGCATAGGCCTCCTTTGTTTTGTGCTATCGATGTTTTAGAAACTTTTTTTTTTTTAATCTGAATGGATGTCTTTTTTATTAAATCAAAATATTTAAAATCACTACATCTGTTAGCTGTTTATGAAATCATGGTGAATTTTTTGGTAAAATGAATAATCATCTTTAAATATTGGGGTTCATGGAACCTAGATTTTCATGTGATTGGATGCGCCTAAAGCAAGATGCACCTATAGTATTATCTTTAGATAATTAGGGTACTATTGTTATGTATTATAGTAGAATTATTTTTCTTTCTTCCGTATCTTTATGCTTGCTTTTTAATCATTTTGTCTTTTCTGCCTTATTATTTTGCTTTTTGAAACTACTTTTCTTTTTCTGAAAGTATAGATAAGTTAATTTTGCTTTTCTCCTTCAGAAGTAAATTTTCTTCCTTCAGTGCCCGGCATAGTGCTTTGCATGTAGTAACTACTGCATAGTTACATAGTAACTACTAGTAAATAATTATTATTGATTTAATGGTCTATTTTGCATGCAGGACAACACATTTAATCAAATGAATTATCTTTTCACTATTAATCAGCTAGTAGGCAGATTATATTGCATTTTAGATAGGCTATTCAGGTATTGCCGTTGAGTCTATTTCAACTCATAGTGACCCTATAGAAGAGAATAGAACTGCTCCATAGGGTTTCCAAGGCTGTAAATTTTTCTGACCTTTCAGTTAACAGCTGAGCACTTTAACCACTGTACCACCAGGGCTCCCAATCAGAGATGTAACGGGCTAAATCAGTGGAACCTTTGAGGTCATAGTAAGGACTTCGGCTTTTAGTCCAAGTGAGATGAGAAGCCACTGGTGGGTTTCGAGCAGAGCAGTGACATGGTCTGACCGATGTTTAACAGGAGCACGCTGGCTGATGTTTACAAATAGACTGAAGAGAATAAGGAGGAGCCTCGTTAGGAGGCTCTTGCAATAATCCAGGCCAGAGATGATTGTGGCTTGGTGGTGGCAATAGAGGTGTGAGAAGTGATCAGATTCTGGATATATTCTGCAAGTCTTGCTGATAGGTGACAGGGTTTGTTGACCAATAAGATATGGGATATGAGAGAAAGAAAAAGATCAGTGACGAAACCAAAGTTGGCCTAAACAGCTGGAAAGATAAAGTTACCATCATAGAGCTAGGGAAGACTAGCCAGAGCAGGTTATGGAGAGGAAATTAGGAGCTGAGTTTTAAACAAGTTGAGTTTGAGATGCCATAAGATATCTAAGCAGAGGTGGTGAATTTGGAGTTAGGAATTTGGGAGAAACCAACATGTGTTGATATTAAAGCCACGAGAGTAGATGGAAAAAAAGTCAAAGCATCGAGCCCTGGGTCTGAGCATGAAAATGTATGATGATAAATGTCCTTAGAGTTAGAATAAACTTTTTCAGAACGCAAATCTGGCCAAACATTTTAGGAGTTGTAAATCTGGAGCAGCCTGTATGTTTTCCTGGATGGAAACGGCCAACGTGCTCAGCTCCTAACCCAAAGGTTGGAGGTTCAAGTCCACCTGGACGTGTCTCAGAAGAAAAGCCTGGCAGTCTACTTCTGAAAAATCGGCCATTGAAAACCCTGTGGAGCACAGTTCTACTCTGATATACATGGTGTCACCATGAGTAGGAATCAACTAGATGACAACTGGTACTGGTAATAGTCTCTATACTGTTTACATTACAGCAACTGGTATAGAAATAGCTCCTTGCTTTTCCCTCAAAAGTTAAATGTTGTGTTCAAATTGTTCTTTTATACTACAATTGGGCATTTTGGTTGTTGCTACTACACATAGGTAATCAAATTACCTTTAGTCATTCATTTAAAAAGAAGTATGCATTATAGGGGTAAAATGGAAAGGACTATGAAAAATTTCAGTAGGAAAAGATTTAGAAAATACCTTCCTCACAATTACTAACATTTACTTTAGTTTCCTTTAGGTCAGATCAAACTCTGGGAGGCTAAAGTTGAAGAGGTTGATAGATCCTGTGATTCAGATGAAGATTACGAGGCCAGTGGGCGTAGTCTGTTATCCACACATTACACCATTGTCATTCACCCCAAAGACCAAGGTCCAACTTATCTTCTAATTGGATCCAAGCATGAAAAGGTATTGACTGACTTACTGTTGTGGACTGCTTGGTTTGGAATGATTTAGCTAATATCATTCAGGTATTAGTAATGATTTTCAAATCGATTTTATGGGAGTGAAGAAGAGAACTTTGCTAAAGACTTTCAGCTCTGTTCTCAGATTCTTTGCATCCTTGGAAATGAGCTTTATTCTAATGTGTTATTTTTCAGTCCTACTGATAAAAGTGGTCTCAAGTCTGAAATTAGTGGGAAGGTATAGGACAAAGGGACTTCAGGTTGAAAATATGGATCTCTCAGACTGGATAATTTTTGGTGAATCTAAGGTCTCCAATTTATATTTTTTACTTATTTTCAATAAAATTTTGGTTTACATACAAGTGAAATGAATTATACATATTATATGTATGGGTAGTCGTATTTGATAAAGAAGTAACCACAAATTACTGGTGAAGTAACGGACTGTTCCATACATAGTATTGTATGTGTATTATATAGAGGAAATTGGCCATTTAGAAAAACACTAGTTTAGTTTTTCCTCTCACACCATATAAGCAAAATAACTTCCAGATGAATTTAAAGACTTAAAAGAGTTAAATGAGATTATATTTTTAAAAAAGCTTGAGGAAAGTTAAGGTGAACATTTATCTAATCTCTGAATAGAAAGTACTTTCTAAAGAAAAAAAAAAAGCCATATAAGAAGTCGCAGTGGAAGTGGCTGATGGAGTTGACTACCAAAAAATAGAAACACTTCTTTACATCTAACAAAATTATAAAGGTAATTAAAATGATAATACAAAAGAACAAAATGTTTGATGCATGGCTACTGTATCTTTAACATATAAACAACTCTTACAAATTATTACTGTTTCTATTAATCGTCTGTTTTTGACCACATGTATCAAGCAAAGTGCTGAGTGCCTTACGTGTTTCTTTTTTCATCCTCACAATAACTCTGTGAGGGAGGTGATCTTATTCCCATTTACAGATGGGAAAATTGACAAACCAAAAGGTAAGGTGACTTTCATGTGGTCATACATCTAGAAGGAGGCACAGTTGGTATTTGAGCTGGTATTTCTGATGCTAAAGCCCTTGTTCCTGAACACTTGCCTCTCCTTCCTCCCAGTTGATTTGAAAAGCGCTATGTTTCCAATAAAAATAGGAAAGTTGATGAACAACGTATTGAGGAGGAAAACTTACAAATGTTTAATTAATGTTTAGACTCATTTGTAATCAAAGAAATGCAAGTTTTAAAAATGATAAAGCTTTTATTTTCTATCAAACTATCAAAGATTAAAAAAATGATGAGTTAATGAAGATATGATGAGGGAAGCACTCATACGTTACTAGTGGGGTTACAAATTGGTATAAACTCTCGAAAGTAACTTGAAAGTACGTTTCAACAAATGCTGGAGAGGTTGTGGAGAGACTGGAACACTTATACACTGTTGGTGGGAATGTAAAATGGTACAACCACTTTGGAAATCGATTTGGCACTTCCTTAAAAAGCTAGAAATAGAAGTACCATACGATCCAGCTATCCCGCTCGTTAGAATATATCCTAGAGAAACAAGAGCCGTCACACGAATAGATATATGCACACCCATGTTCATCGCAGCACTGTTCACAATAGCAAAAAGATGGAAGCAACCTAGGTGCCCATCAACGGACAAATGGATAAGCAAACTGTGGTATATCCACACAATGGAATATTACACAACGATAAAGAACAATGATGAAGCTGTGAAACATCATATAACTTGGTGGAAGCTGGAACTTATGCTGAGTGAATTTAGTCAGTCACAGAAGGACAAATACTGTATAAGACCACTATTATAAGAACTCAAGAAAAGGTTTAAACACGGAAGAAAACATTCTTTGATGGTTATGGGGGCAGGGAGGGAGGGTGAGGGTTATTCACTAACTAGATAGTAGATAAGAATCATCTTAGTTGAAGGGGAAGACAGCACACACTACAGGGGAAGCCAGCACAACTGGACTAAACCAAAGCTAAGAAGTTTCTTCAATACAGTCAAATACTTTGAGAGACAGAATAACAGGGATGGGGGCTCTGGGGACCATGCTTTCAGGGGACATCTATGTCAATTTGCATAACAAAGCTTATTAAGAAAATGTTCTGCATCCTACTTTGGTGAGTGGCATCTGGGGTATTAAAAGCTTGCAAGTGGCCATCTAAGATGCATCAATTGGTCCCAACCACTTGGAGTAAAGGAGAACGAAGAACACCAAAGACACAAGGAAAATATTAGCCCAAGAGACAGAACTCAGACTTCATCAGCCTGAGACCAGAAGAACTAGATGGTGCCCAGCTACCACCAATGAATGTCCTGACAGGGAACACAACAGAGGGTCCCTGATGGAGCAGTAGAACGATGGGATGCAGAACTCAAATTCTAGTAAGAAGACCAGACTTAATGGTCTGAGTCTGGAGGCACCCTGGAAAGCATGGCCCCTGGACTCTGTATCACCCCAGAACTAAAACAATTTCCGAGGCCAACTCTTCAGACAGGGATTAGACTGGACTGTGGGACATAAAGTGGTACTTGTGAAGAATGTGCCCCTTAGTCAGGTAGATACAAGAGACCAAAGGGGCAGCTTCTGTCCAGAGGTGAGATGGGAAGGCAGAGTTAGGAGCTGGTTGAATGTTCATGGGGAATCAGGGGCGGAGGGGAGGAGTGTGCTGTCCCAGAATGGGGTGAGCAGTTGGGGTCTTATACAATGTATGTAAAACAAACAAACAAACAAACTTCTTTATAGGAGACTAACTTTAAATGTAAACTTCGTTTAATTGCAACAAAAATAAAAAAAAAGAATAGAGTGAAAAAAAAAGAAAGTATGTTTCAAGAGTTCAGAGTTCAAGAGTTTCAAAAGTTAGTATTTCAAGAGTTCAAGAATTCATATTTATGCCCTAGTAATGACTTATAATTCAAACAGTATAGACTAAGAAAATGAAGATAAATGCAAAGATGTACATATAAATTTGTTGAACACAGGATTCTCTTAAAAATAACTTTGTTTTCTGAGATATTTCAAACACAGAAAAGATAACAGATACACATATACCCACCTTTCTACTTAACAGATGTTTACTTTAGAGTGAGAAGTCACTATCTAAGTGTTTAACAATAGGAAATTGATTAAATACGTGTGGTATGTCCATATAATAGAATATCCTGAGTCCATTCTAACAACAAGGAAGAATGCTTATAACAAATAAAATTCAGAAATCATAATGACTTATTTTTAGTGTAATCTCAATTATATAAAAATGTAGTCTACATTTATATTTTCATAGAGGGGAAAATAGACAGGAAGGAAATACACTCATAGTTATCTTTGGGAAATGGAAAAATTGAGTGTTATTTTCATCTTTAAACTTCCTGGATTTCCTAAGTATTCTGAATGTATTAGTTTTGGAGTCAAATTTTTAGTTTGATAGAATTTATTGTATTTCTTAAACAAAAATTGACTGGTTATATTTATTCTAGTTTCTTAGAAGATGCTAAGAGACTGGAATAAATGCTTTTCTAAGAAACACCGATAGAAAATAATAAAAACGTGAACATTACTTGGGGGTATGGTAACATGAGCACAATTTACGTGAGCCTACTTTTGAACTGCTTGACTGAGTGGCTTTTAGTTATTCTTTAAAAATTAATAAAAATGAGGTTTTTCAGCCTCGAAGTTTTGTACAGTTTATGAAAATTGGTTTTTTCCTTAAATAATCAAAACTATACATGGTAACGTTTTTATTAATACATTTTGATTTTAAGGACACTTGGCTTTATCATCTGACTGTTGCAGCTGGAAGTAACAGTGTAAACGTTGGATCTGAATTTGAACAACTTGTTTGCAAATTGCTAAATATAGAAGGAGAACCTTGTAAGTTCAGCGCTTATAATGCTTTCTGGTTTATGAAATGGCCTCCAACCTCCTTATCCTAATGGGATTTTTGCCTTGTGGGTTCCTGTTTCCCTGCAATGCACCCACCTTTTCACTGGTTTTGCTTCTGTTGGCGTAGAGTTCTCAGAGTGGCTCTTAGGCTCCAAGGACGTCACTCTTCCCCAATATGCTGTGTCCTCTCCCACTCCCTGCCTTTGCTGACACTGGAGCACCCTTGCTTGGGATGCCCTCCTCCATCCTGTTCCCCACCGATCTGAAGAAGTACTCCTTAGCCTTAGGGACTCTCAAGCCAACCCATCTCACCAGCAGGCTCCTAAAAGGTGCTTAATAATTGTTAAAATTATGTCTCAATGCACTTTGTCATTTAACTCTTTTGCATTTGTTGCTTTGCATCAAAATTAAAATGATTTTTTATGGCTAAATTTTCCCCCACTGAGAGTATAGATTCTACCCTATGCTTTACATAATAGCAGAAACCATATTTAATTTTTACTGTCCATCATAAGAGTTTAATAAATGTTGATTTTAGGAATGACTTCATATGCTTCATTACCTTTATAGCTCCTTCTACTTTGGCTTCTCTCTAGATCTTTCCTCAGCTCCTTCTTATCTATTAATATCTCTCTACCTGTGTTACCAATCTTTAGCACATTTTGACAATATGATAGTGTCCTGGTAGAGTCGTACCAGCCTAATAAGTTAGGCCAAGCTTTTCTAGGTTCAGTGTATTTGAAACAGAAGAAAGAATTCTACTAGCCTAAAACTGAAAAAGTCCTGCCTCTTAGGCTGTAAACTTCAGGAGGGCAAAACCATGTCTGTTTTTGTTAAAAACTGTATATCAAAGGAAAATTTTGGTTTGGTTTGGTTTTTAGTCCTAAAATAAAATTCTGCTGTCAAAGGTTTTCCTGACCTTTGTGACTTAAAGTTGTGGGACAGGCCTGAATGAGTTAATTTCTAAAGCGGTAGTTTAATGGGAGGACAAAATAAGTGATTATTTATGTTTTCTGTTCATGTTTGATTCGATGTTTAGCCTCTCAGATATGGAGGCACCCCACTCTGTGTCACAGCAAAGAAGGAATCATTTCCCCTCTGACAACACTACCTTCTGAAGCTCTACAGACAGAAGCAATTAAATTATTTAAGGTAAAATTTTATATGGGGTTATACATTTTTAAATAATTTAATTTGGAAAAAAACAGTAATTTGGGTTATAAAGTTTTACCCTTCCCAAGAATACTCAAAATGTGATCAATTATTAGTAAGAAAATCTACTGAAATAAAGTAGTGGGGATTTAATATGCTTCCTGAGTGAGGATTTGGAATTTACTAAGAGAAAAAGCTATGTATGGTTTGGTAGACATGAAAAACTCGTAAATGTTCCAGAAGATATCATTTGCCCTTTGACCTCTTAAATGCAGAGTTCTCTCACATCACATCTACTTCAGCGTTGAGAGGGGGTGAGTACTCTCTTTCATCTTTTAGAAATCCCTGATCACTTGAGGCTTGACATTCACCAAGTATCACTATTTGCCCATCTCTGTCATCAGTCACCTTCTCCTAACTTTTCAAATTTCTTTAAGGATTTTGGTTCCCAACTTACACTCTTTCTCTCTACCTCAAATCTTGCAGTTATCCTGAATGACTTTATTATCACTTTACTCATCAAAGCCTATTCTCAAGATTCCTTACCATCTCAATTCCAGTGAGCTTCACCTCTGGTCTACTTACTACATCTTCCCATTCACCGTGTTCACATCCTGACTCTACATTCCTTATAAGTATGCCACATCTAAACTCTTAAATTCTAATATCTCTTTCTTTAACCATAATCTCCTATCCTATATGTTTTCTTATTTTCTTACTCCTTCCTATTTGTCTTCACTTAGACTTCTGTTTTGAACCATATATTTTCTTTGAGACCACAGGAGGTTATGATAACTGCCTCTTGGCTTTTTTTTTTTTTCTTTATGCAGTCTGGATTATTCTGATTAATACTCATAGTTTCTTGGGGCCCCTGCTTCCATGCACTCTTTAGCCAAACCCCAGCCTAGATCCATGCTGTTTTCTGTGCTGCAACACGGATCACATGCACACTGCTAGAGAGCATCAAACAGCCAGGTGGATGGGAGCCAGTGTAAATCCATGGTCTTCATCCCTCAGGGCCAGCTCTCTGCCTTTTGCTTGTCTTTGCTCACATCCCCCTCAAGTTCCCTACTCAGTACTCCTCACAACAGAGAAACTTGTCTCCCATTTCATTGAGAAAATTAAACAAAATCAGACAAGGTTACCTCAACTCTCTCCCTATAACAGACATTCTGTATCTTCATCTCTTTTTTTCGTATTTTCCTCCAGTCTCAGAATATGGTGTCCCTTCTATGCATCCAGGTCTTGACTCCATACCAGGACCTTGGTACTTCATTTTTTCCTGGTCTTTTAGCGTCTTAGGCTCTGTCTTTTTTTACGGCTTCTTCTTGCCTACATTTCTCCCATCTCAAAAAAAAAAAAAAAAAAATTCTGTTTATTAGATGGCTTTAAGTATCTATTGTTAATTTTGTTGGGTATGCTGATGACATGATGGTTATGGAAAAAAAAATCTTTATCTGTTGGAGAGCCATACAGAAATAGTTATGGGTAAACTAACCTGATATACATTAAAACATTCCAGAAAAAAAAGCGGTAAAATGCTGATAATTTTTGACTAGGTCATGGATACATGGATGATCATTATACTATTCTCTGTACTCTTGTTCATGTTTTAAATTTTTCATAATGGGAAGTATAAAAAATCTAACCATAGAATGCACAAAGACTCAAAGCAAGAAAGACTCTATGCAAATATATCCAAGAATCTGGAAGAAGTCATTGATTTTATAGCAAAATATAAATGACTAAAATTGATTCTACAGGAGGTAGAACAGGGGAATATACCTGTTATGGAATAAATTGTATCCCCCCAGATACGTGTTGAAATCCTAACCCTTATACCTGTAAATATAACCCTGTTTAGAAATTGGAGTTTTCTTTTGTTATGTTAATGAAGTCATACCAGAGTGGGGTGGGTTCTAAACCTAATCACTTCTGAGTTATAAAAAGAGCAGAACAGACCTAGAGGTGCACAAAGAGGGGAAGACAGGAACCAAGGAACTCACGGGCTACCGATAAGGAAGGACCTCCTGTTAGAGCCACATACTGAATCAGACTTCCAGCCTCATGAACTGTGAGAAAATAAATTTCTGTTCTTTAAAGACATCCTTGTGGTATTTCTGTTACAGCGGCACTAGATCACTAAGACAGTACCAGACCTTATAAATAATTCCAGTGTTCTTTAAACTGTCCCAAAGCATAGGAAAAAAAAAGAAAATTTCGAAATTCTAGTATTTTTCTTTTGAAATTTTTAAAAAACATATAAGAGTAAAAAAAACCCCAAACCCATTGCCATCAAGTCGATTCTGACTCATAGCGACCCTATAGGACAGAGTAGAACTGCCCTATAGGGTTTCCAAGAAGTGGCTGGTGGATTCAAGCTCCTGACCTTTTGGTTAACAGCCATAGCTCTTAACCACTGTGCCGCCAGGGCTCCATATAAGAGTAAAGAGATTATTACAGTAATGAAGCCCAATGTACCCGTCACCCAGCTCCACAGTCATCAACACAAGTTCAATCTTTTTTTTTTTTTTTAGTAATACATATTTTTTAAATTTTATTGTGGTAAAATATATATAACACAAAATTTGCCATTTTACCTATTTTAAGTATATAATTCAGTGACATTAATTATATTCCATTGTTGTGCAATCATCATCACTATATATTTCCAAAAGATTTTTGTCACCCCAAACAGAAACTTCATACTCACTAACCAATAACTCCTTGTTTCCTTCTCCACCAGCCCCTAGTAACACGTTTAACTTTTTTTTCATCTGCCCACCCTCATTGTTCCCTCACATTGGTTTATTTTGAAGCAATTCTCAATCATTGCCACCAGATTATTTTTATGAAATGAGTATAACTTTAATACCAAACCCCAGCAAAAATTGTACAAAATAGAGAGCACTTCATACAAAAACAAATAAAATATGAGTAAACAGAATCCAGCAGCGTTAAGAAAGTATATTAAACCATGACTAAGAGGTATTTATTCCAGGAAATCAGAATGGTTAAATATTAGGGAATCTATTAACATAATCTCTGTAAATACTAAAAAGGCATTAAACAAATTAAACATTCATAAAATAGCAAGTGATAAAAAATTCTTTAACATTATGAAATATTTCTGTGTTAGCTAAAAGTAAGCATCATGCTTTATGGGGAATCCTAGAAACATTCACACTAAATTGAGGAACAAGACAAGGATATCCAGTCCCCATTATTATTATTTTTTAATGACTGACAGCAACTGGAGAAATTTGTGTATAATTTATATACAATTTATCTCCATTATCATTTAACATTCTATTAGGGGTACTTCCTATGCACTTAGGCAATGAAAAGAAATTAGAGGTATACAAATTGGAAATGAAAATATAAAACATCACTATTTACAGATAACTGTATACCTGGAAACCCAAAAGAACAAACTAAAAAACTTAGAAATGAAAAGAGAATTAACAAGGTAGTGGGGTACAAAATTAATAGGCAGAAACCAAAGGTTTTTATATATACAAAGAACAACCAATTAGAAGGTTAAAAGAACTTCTACTTTTGGTCATGATGGGGTAACAGGAGACTAGATTTACCCTCCCTTAAACTGTGGTGCAGTGGTAAGCACCTGGCTGCTAACCAAAAGGTTGGAGGTTTGAACCCACCAGACGCTCTGCCAGACAAAGATGTGGCAGTCTGCTTCCCATAAAGATTTACAGCCTTGGAAACCCTGTGGGGCAGTTCTCCTCTGTCCTTTAGGGTTGCTATGAGTTGGAATCAACTCGACGACAGTGGGTTTGGTTTGGTTTGGTTTTTGAAACAACTGAAAAAGCAGAAAAAATATGTGAACCAATAGTTTTTATATATTGAACAACAGGCAATGCAAGACAATAATCCTCATGGAAATAAATGAAGCGAGCCTTATGATTGCTGCAGCTTACTGCCTGGAAAGAGTTTCAAGACCGCAGTGCAGAGAAGGGGAGCCCAAACAGATCCTGGCTGTGTTCCTGAGATGCAGAGAAAGAGTTTAGAATTTGAGGAGGCCAAGGTGGTTAGAATCCACAGGGCAAGGAGGAGAGAGCTGAAGAGCGAGCAAGCTCCAGAGGTCTGCAGAGGGCTCCCCTCTAATTTTCAGCTGAGAACTGATAACCATATGTATGGGAGCAAATTATCCAAGGCTGGGAAAAGAACCACAAGAAAGGAACAGAAAAAAAAAAATCCCTGGATCACATCCAGGGCTGGAAATAGTTCATGTTCCCATCCACCAGAATGGAAAGATCTCTTGACACTGGGCATCGAGTACTCAGAAGGTTATTGCCTCAGTAATAGGGCCAAAAATAGTTCTAGACTAAAGGCTGTTCTAGTTCATCCTAACAAAAGTTAAAAGCAAGCCTTGGAAGAATCAGTCTGTTTCCAAGTAATTAAACTATATCTCAGAACAAAGCTCAAAAATATTTAAAGAATACCAAAAAAAGAAAAAAATCCACTGCCCAACATTGTAAAATTCACAATTTATGGAATCCAATAAAAAAATCACTAGGCGTATAGAAGACCAAAACCAAAGCATTGCCATCAAGTTGATTCTGACTCATAGTAACCCTTAGGGCAGAGAAGAATTGCCCCATATGGTTTCCAAGGCTGTAATCTTTACGGAAGCAGACTGCCACATGTTTCTCCCATAGAGAGCTGGTGGGTTTGAACCGCCAACCTCTCAGTTAGCAGCCAAGCACTTAACCAGGGCTCCTTTAGGCATATAGCGAGTCAGGAAAATATGACATACAATGAGGAGAAAAATCAATCACAGAAACAGATCTAGAATTGATAACAGATGATAGTAGACAAGTACATTTTCATGTACTGGTTATCTATTGCTGCATTAAAAATAACCCCAAAATTTAGCGCCTTAAAACAACAAACATTTATTATCTCACAATTTCTGGGAGCAGCTTAGCTGAGTGGTTCTGTCTTTGAGTCTCCATGAGATTTCAGTCAAACTATCAGCTGGGACTGTAGTCACCTGAAGACTTGACTGGGCCTAAGAGACACTAAGCTCCTTCACATGTCTGTTAACAAGAGGGCTTGTTAACATGGATGTCTTTATAGGACTCTTCAAGACTGGGCAGGTACCTTCCAACAGAGCAAGTGATCTAAGACAGAGAGAGAGAGTGACCAAGACAGAAACTACATTGTTTTTCATAACCTAATGGAATCACATGCCATCATTTCTACCATATTCTAGCCACACAAACCAACCCTGGTACAGTATGGGAGGGGATTACCCAAGAATCTGAATAGCAGGAGGTGGGAATCATTGGAGACAATCTTAGAGACTGGCTGTGTTCAGAAGATAGTGGAAAGCATGAGCATGTTAATGAGAGTAATGGAAGATATAAAAAAGACCCATATTGAATTTCTAGAGATGAAAAATACACTGGATGAGATTAATAGCAGAGAAGACACTGCAGATGGAAAGATTAGTGACCTTGAACACATAGCAATAAAAATTACTTAAAATGAAACAGTGTGAAGAAAATCGAAAAACATACAGTGAGCTGTGGGACATCTCTAAGCAGCCTAATATATATGTGCAATTGAAGTCCCACAAAAAAGGAGTGGGCAACAGAAACAAAATTCTTAAAAAAATGACATAGAATTTTCTAGATTTAATTACGTTTATAAATCCTCAAATCCAAGACACTCAATGAACCCCAAGCAGGAAGAAAAAAAAAAAAAACAACATGAAAGTACACTAAGACACATCGTAATGAAATTGTTTAAGACAATGATAAAGTCTTAAATGCAGATGGGGTGGGGGAGGAAATAACATGCAGAGAAACATAAACAGCAGAATTCTCATCAGAAATGATGCAAGCCAGAAAACAGGAGAGTAACGTCTTTAAAGAACTGAAAGAAAAAAATCTGTCAACCTAGAATTCTGTATCTTTCTAAAACAAAGCTGAAATAAAGGTTTCTTCCAGACCTACAAAAGCTGAAATAATTTATCACCGGCAGACCAGCATTATAAGAAATATTTAAGGAAGTCCTTTAGGCAGAAAAAAAAAAAAATTCCAGGTGGAAATCTGGATCTACACAAAGCAATGAAGAGCAGTAGAAACAGAAAATATGTGGGTGAATAGACAAGAATTTTTCTTTATTATTTAAATCTCTCTGAAAGAGAATTGATTGTTTGGAGCAAAAATAACAGCAATATATTATGAGGTTTATAATATATGTAGAAGTAAAATATATGACAACAATAGCTCAAATGCTGAGAGAGGGGAAGTGGAAGTATACTGCTGCTATAAGGTTGTTAAACTACATGAAGTGGTATAATATTCCTAAAAGGTAGACTTTGATAAGATTAAAATGTATACTATAAACCCTGAAGCTAACACTTAATCAACAAAGCAAGGAGGTATAGCTAATAAGCCAATGTAATTGAATAACAAATAATACTCAAGTAATAAAAAGCCATAAAATAGGGAAAGGGGAAAAAAGAATATATGGGACAAATATAAACAAATAGCAAGATGAATTTATATTCTCCTGTATTAATAATCACATTTAATGGCCTAAACACCTCAATTAAAAGGCAGAGATTATCAGATTATATAAAAAAGCAAGATCCAGCTATATACTGTCACAAGTAGTAGTTTTTTTGTTTCCTACCGTTTGTTCTAAAGAAGGAAGATTGATGTAGTGGCCTGCTCAAAAGCACTTAATATATTTATTTCACTCCCAGATGAATTTTAATGTCAGTAATAAGCCCAGTATATTTAATGCACTAAACAATAATTTTGTGATTGTATAATCAGCATACAGATATTTTAAAGAATTCATAGAAAAGTATATGAAGATTGAAAATACTTCCCATGCCTCCAGGCAAGGCCATCCCAAAATGCCTCAAGCCGGAGTAGCTACTTCTCTAGTCACGATAACAAACATAACACATTTTTGCAGTTTTATTACAATGAGCTGGAAAAATGAACAATGATAACTATTAATATCCTACTTTTAAAAATATCTAGAGAAAATTATGCTATAACCTTTTCCTAGTAAGCTACTCGAAAATTTAATCTCTTTGGGAAAAAAAAGTGTTTCTTCTTTAAATTAATTATATAATTATGTCCTCTTTAAATTAATTAGGTTACTATTTCCCAAAATATTTTCCTGGTAAACTAGTTCTTCAAGATGCTAATGGTATTACTAGGAAAAAAGAAAAATAAGACGAGGTTGTAGTCAAATAAGTTTAGAAAACTCTGGGTTAAACAAAATGAAACAGGTATTTGTTGTGTTTTTTTTTGAGGGGGGAGGCGGATTATACCTGCAAGAGTTCTCAGACCCTATAATATGTTAATGTGCATTAAAAATCTCCAAGATTTTCCCATAACTGTTTGACAATGGGAATCTTTTTTTCACTGAGCATTTCAGGTAATGCTTTGGACGGTGATGTTTTAGGTTAGAGAGTAAATTTAGTTTGATTATATTCTGTTTTCAGCAGAGATAGACTACCTACCGTATAACAGTTGGAGCTCTGGTGGAGTAGTAGTTAAGAGCTCGACTGCTAACCAAAAGATCGGCAATTCAGATCCACCGGCTGCTCCTTGGAAACTATGGGGCAGTTCTGCTCTATCCTGTAGGGTTGCTATGACTCCAAACCAACTTGATGGCACCTAACAGCAACAACAACTATATAACAACACCATAATTAAAGCCAACCCTTGGTGTTTATGAACACTTCTTAACCTTTCTATATAGCTATTATATTTAGTCTAATTTTAAACTCATTCATTCTTTAAAAATTTACTGTGGACATATTATGTTGCTGTATGCTATGCAGTGAATACAAAGATAAATAAGATAGTCTGTGCCCTTATAAAGTTTATAGTCTAGTGGAAGAGAGATCATTAATGTTCCATGTGCCCTTAAATGAATGCATAGTCTGTTGTTGGGTGGTGTGTTCTATAAATGTCAATTAGATCAAGTTAGTTGATAGTGTTGAAGTTTTCTATATCCTTACTGATTTTCTTTCTACTTCTTCAAACAATTATTGAGAGAGGGGCATTGAAATCTCTGACAATAATTGTGAATTTGTCTGTTTCTCCTTACAATTCAGTCAGTTTTTGCTCTGTGTACTTTGAAGCTCTGTTATTAGATACATAAACGCTTAGGATTGTTATGTCATCTGGATGATCTGACCTCTTTATCATTATAAAATGATCCTCTTAATCCCTGGTAAAATGCCTTGCTTTGAATTCTACTTTGACAGTAATGTGGCTATTCCAGGTGTTTTTTGTTTAGCATTATCGTAACATATCTTTCTCTCCTCCTTTCATCGAGAAGTAAAGAGAATCAAGATAAGTCATGCAGAATAAATCTAATCATTTCTTACCTTGAATATATCTTCTTTTTTGTTTAATTCAGACCTGCCAGCTTTTTATAAATGCAGCAGTTGACTCCCCTGCGATTGACTACCACATATCTCTAGCCCAGAGTGCTTTACAGATCTGTCTGACACATCCTGAGCTACAGAATGAAATTTGCTGTCAGCTCGTTAAACAGACAAGACGAAGACAGCCACAGAATCAACCAGGACCATTGCAGGTATACATTGATACATATAAATGCAGTTTAAAATGATGGTTTTTTTTCCCCCTGATTATAAGAATGACACACATTCAATATAGGCATTTAGAAAATAGAAAAAGTGTAAAAAGGAAAAAGAGCTGTTACTATTTTGATGTTTGTCCTTTTGATTTATTTATACGTTTCTATATAAAAGTGTATGTGTGTATGTTTGCACGGTCTCCCTTTTTCATATGACTGGAGTTACAATGTGTATACTACTTTTTAAAAATATATAACATTAGCATTTCCTCTGTATTCTCAAACATTCTTCAAAACACATGGTCACATTAATGTCAGTTATTAAAATTTTAGTTTTTTCCAGTTATTTCTCTTAAAATAAATATCACTTCATTAGATATCGTTGAACCTAAATCTTTGTGTACATGTCCAGTTCCAAAAAAAAAACCAAACCCATTGCCATTGAGTTGATTCTGACTCATAGCGACCCTATAGGACACAGTAGAACTGCCCTGTACAGTTTCCAAGGAGCATCTGGTAGATTTGAACTGCTGACCTTTTTGTTAGCAGCTCTAGCTCTTAACCACGACACCACCACGGTTTCCGCACGTCCAGTTAATTCCTTTGAATTCATTTCTAGAATTTCCCTATGTCTTCAACAATATTCAGTGTAATTCTTTTTTTTAAATTCTTTCCAGGTAAAAAGAGTGACCTTTCACGATCGCTTTATGATGTAGTTCTTTAATTACTAGTGCAGGTGGATATACTTTCCAGGTAGAGGCGTAACTAAGGTACGGCAGGCAGGGCGCATGCCCTGGGCACCGCTTAAGGAGGGTGCTAATGAGCAGTTTCTATTGGCCTCGCAGTTTCCCTTTCTGGCTGTAAGAGATCATTCAGCAATTTAAAACTAATTGCCATAGACACTATTTTCCATAGATAGGGCCCTGTTTCCAGTGTTTTTTAGTCATTTGTGTTTACTCTTTAATGAATGCTTGCTTATACCCTCGCTTATTGATGCCCTGCTAACCACAGGATAAAATAGAAATTCTTACCTCAGCATACAGGGCCCACATGGGTAGATCCAGGTTTTGTGGGATATGGAATTTATACAACTTGGGGAACCCTCTTTAAGAAAAAGAATACAAAAATAACTTATTTTTGAAAATTAAAAAACAAAACAGACGATTATGGTTAACACAATTGATAAGACCCTCTCCAGGTCCTTGGAAGGGGCTTGTGCAAGCTAGGGACCCTGAAGCTTCGTTTGTATCATAGGACCCTCATAATCTGGCTCAGTGGCCTCATCTCTCTCTACTCCATTTTATGCATCCTGCCTCCAGCATACAGCAAAGAATACTCTCCATCCTTCCAACGTACCCGGCTTTGCATTATCCTCAACTTTGTAGCTGGTGTTACTCCTGTTACCTGGATTCCCTTCCTCCTTCCCACCTCTAAGCTTTACTGTATAGGCTGAGCAACATCTCTCCTGTGAATTCTTCTGATTCCTACAGCAGTTAGTCATTCTCTTCATTTGGTTATACTTAGAAAAAATTATTAACTGTGTTGTAATATAAATCACTGTTTAAATATATAACATCTCCCACTAGACTATAAGCTTCTCAAGGGCAGGGATAGTATCTTTTCCTCCCTCCTTTTTTATAGAACATTTTTAAAAATTACTAAAGTTATACTTACTTAATGAAAAAAAAATGAAGATAAATATAGGGGAAGTCAGCACAACTTGACCGAGGCAAAGCCATAAAGAAGCTTCCTAGACACATCCAGATGCCTTGAGGAACTGAGTTACTGGGGCTGAGGGCTGGGCACCGTGGTCTTCGGGGACATCTAGGTCTCCTGGCATAACATAGTTTTTAAAGAAAATATTCTACACCCTACTTTGGTGACTAGCGTCTGGAATCTTAAAGGCTTGCAAACGGCCACCTAAGATACATCTTTTGGTTCCATCATGTGCAGAGCAAAAGAGAATGAAGAAAACCAAAGACACAAGGAAATTATCAGTCCAAGGGACTAATGGACCATATGAACCACAGCCTCCACCAGCCTGTGCCCAAAAGAACTAGATGGTGCCCAGCTACCACCCCAACTGCTCTGACAGGTCACAGTAGAGGGTTCCAGACAGAGTGGGAGAAAAACATACAACAAAATTCACATTCACGAAAAGAAAACCAGGCTTACTGGTATGACAGAGATGGGAGGGACCCTCAAGACTATGGGCACCAGACACCCTGCTAACTTAGAACAGAAGCCACTTCCGAAGTCGACCTTTCAGCCAAAGGTTGGACAAGCCTATAGAACAAACAGTAACACTCATGAGAAACATCCTTCTTAGTTCCATGAAGTATATGAGACCAAATGGGCAACACCTGCCCAAAAGCAAAGACAAGAAGGCAGGAAGGGACAGGAAACCTGGACAAATGGACATGGGGAATCCGGAGTGTAAAGGGAAACAGAGAGTGCTGACACATTGCGGGGATTGCAACCAATGTCACAAAACAATTTGAATGAGAAACTGATTTGCATTATAAACTTTCACCAAAACACGATAAAATAAAATTTTAAAAAATCAGGAACAAAGGGAGGCTAAGCACGTAGAATCACGGCTGCAGCTGAACAATGGAGACTGCTGCTCACCCACCTGTTTCCACCAGCTCAGGACAGGAATGCTGCCGTTGGCACTGCTTCTAGTGGCTGTCACTGTGGCTACTGCCACCAGAATGAATTCTCTACTTACCCTATTTCTTTGCATCGCTCACTCCAGATTCAAATCTCAGACTAGTTTAAGTGACTGGACAAGTAGGTCTGGGTGTGTGTGTGAGAGAGAGGTGCTACAGAAGCCCACTTCTGGACATTTCAGCTTCCATCCCATGGGGAGCAAAGGTTCATAACATTGGGGGATTCCCCAAACAAAAGCAAGGTTTTAGATGCTGGATAGCCAATAAAAAGAACAAATGTGGAATTTAAAAAAAAAAAAAGCCACCACCATGAAAACTGTGGTCATAAAAAATTTTTATGGTATAATTTTAAATATTGTGATTACAGAAATAAAACGTGTACATTGCAAAGCATTTAGAGAAAACAGAAAAGCATAAAAACAAAATAATCTTGTATAGTACCATCAAAGATAACTACAATGAACATTTTGATGTAGTTAAAGCATAATGAGCCAAAAAAAAAACCCAATATAAAATCATACGATCAGGTAACTAAGGTTATGTGCAAACATTTAGCTTCATTCATTCAGTATTCTTAATAAAAAGGAAAAAGTGAGAGTAACTTAACATCCAAAGAAAGGAGGCTGGTTGATCACACTGCCTTGAATCCATATGATGGCCAAGTCTACAGCCTTGAAAATTGACAGCGTAGACTTACAATGATCTATGTGGAAGTATGTTATGAGAACAGTTTTGGTTGCCAAATGATATATTCAGTGTGATCCCAAACTTCTTTATGTTTTTAAATGAATATATGACATTAAGGATTCGCAGTGATTAATTTTGAGTAGTAGATTTACAAGGGATTTTGCTCTTGTTTGTATTTTCTGTTTTTCTTTGTAAATAATGTATGCATAACTTGTGCAGTAAGCAAAGAGGAAGGGGAAACTGTTCGATCATGACTATGTAAAATAAAACTTAAGTATTTTGTACTATATGCTATACTATATGGTATATGTATATGATTATACTATATGGTATACATATACTATATAGACTAGTCCCTGGAAAAGGACATCAGGGTCAGCAAAAAAGGGGAAGACCCAGTGGATTGGATTGACACAATGGCTGCAACAGTGAGCTCAAACGTAGCAATGATTGTGAGGTTGACTCACGACCAGGCAATGTTGCATTCTGTTGTACAAAGGGCCTCTCTTAGTTATGTAGTGCTGCTACAACAGAAATACCTCAAGTGAAGGGCTTCAACAAAGATAAATCTATTCTCTCACAGTCTAGGAGGCTAAAAGTCCGAATTCAGGGTGCCAGTTCCGGGGGAAGGCCTTTTTTCTGTCGACTCTGGAGGAGAGTCCTTGTCACCAATCTTCCCCTGAACTAGGAGCTCCTCAGTGCAGGCACCCCGGGTCCGAAGGACCTGCTATTGTCCTGGCTCTTGTTTCTTGATGGTATGAGGTCCCTGTGTCTCTCTGCTCACTTCTCTCTTTTATGTCTCAAAAGAGATTGACTTAAAACACAACCTAATCTTGTAGATTGAGTCCTGCCTCATTAACGTAACTGTTGCTAATCTCTTAACATCATAGAGGTTAGGATTTACAACACATAGGAAAATCACATCAGATGAAAAAATGGTGGACAATACTGGGAATCATGGCCTAGCCAAGTTGAGACATATTTTTGGGGGACACAATTCAATCCATGACAAGGTCACTATGAGTCAGAACCAACTCAGTGGCACCTAACAATAACATGTTATGTATAAATTAGTATATAATACAATTGTATAATTATATATATATAATTTTCTTTGTATATAATACAAATAAAACTGTATAAAATACGTATAGTTTTATTTTATTTTATAAATATATATAATATATGCATACATGTATATAAACAACTGCAAGGTATTATACAGACTAGAATGTATTGCTTTATTATACATACAGCTTCTTTGGGTCATGAAGCTGAAACTCATGGGATTTTTTTCTTTTTTTCACTTCTGCTTTGGGTATTTTTCTGATTTTCTAAACTGGATGAACATTAAATAATTTTATAGAATCTCGTTTTATTTTTGTAAACAGCTATAATATATGTGTGTTACTTCTGTGTTTATTGTTTGAATGAACTGTCCCCCAGGGATTTTGTGTTTTATTCACTGCTGTTTCCCTAGCTCCTGATAGAAGGTTTGGCACAGAGTAGATGCTGAATAAACATTTGCTAACTAACCATTGAATATACAGAGAAAAGGTCTAGAATGAAAAACACCCAAATGTTTCAGTGTGTTACCTTTGGGAACGGGCATGGGGAGGGGGGCAGGTTTTCTTTTTACTTTATAGTAAACAATGTATTAAAGTCTTTTTTATTCCCTCCGTGAACGTTTATTGCTTTTGGGAAAAAAATAAAAGTAATGAAATTTAAAAAAAAAAAGAAGATAAAAAGCTGAATACAGAACAAAGGGAGAATAAAACTCCGGTTACACAGTGGTTAAAGCAATTGACTGCTAACCGAAAGTCAGTGGCTCCAAACCACCAGTGGCTCCACAGGAGAAAGATGTGGCAGTCTGCTTCTGTAGAGATTTACAGCCTTGGAAACCCTATGGGGTCGCTATGAGTTGGTATCGACCTGATGGCAGTGGGTTTGGGTTTGATTGTTTTATAATCCTATTACCTAAAGATAACCTGTATTAATGTTTTTATATTTGCCCTTTATGTATGTATGTATATACATATGCGTGTATGTATGGGTAGGTGTTTTTTTTTTTTTTTTTTTAGGTATACGACTTTTTAACTATTTTACAATCTGCCTTTCTCAAAGGTGTTACTTATTACATTTCAATGAATAAGTAAATGTATAAATGAGCAAAAAAGGGATAATACCCCTTATCTCTGAGTGTGATGTCAAAGAGGATGGCCGTATCCACATGTTTTTGGAATCTCCATGTAGGTAGCTGTACACAAGTAAACAGATCCTAGATCTGACCAAATGTGCAGTTTTTATGTATTGTAAATGCTCTAAACAGATAATGTACGTGTGGAAGGGGCAAAAACAGTTTGGGGCTAAGAGAGACTACCGTCAGCCTGTCGCTCCCACAACCTCACACCCACTCACACTCATTCTGACTTGAATCTGACTGACGTGGTGTTTCTCTTTGTCCAGGGCTGGCAGCTCTTGGCTCTCTGCGTTGGGCTCTTCCTTCCCCATCATCCTTTCCTGTGGCTCCTCAGGCTCCACCTAAAAAGGAACGCTGATTCCAGGTGTGCGGAAAACTAGCCAGCTGATCTGTTTGTCACCTCTGAAAGTCTACAGTAAATCATAAGTATTTAATAGCCTGCCAGGTACATTTTCAGTAGAATATGTAAAACAGATTTGGTACTAGAAGCCTTTGGTAGTCATTTACGTGGAGCTTGGAAGATAATTCCTTTGTTATGTTAAATCTCTTATGGAAGATTACAGCAAAAGCTGGAAAAACTGACAAAGAATATTTTTAAGTGAAAAGTCTATGTACATTTTGAGTATGAATGACTTAGCATTAGTGGATGTTCACTCAGTAGAAGCAACTGTTTTGTTGCCTTGGTTTCCCCTATTACTGTTTTTCTCCATATAGAATTCTTTTATGTGGAAGATTTCCCTTATGGTCTTGCTTTCTGTTTTAATTGTATGAATTACTTGAGAATTTTTACTCCCTTGGGGAAAAAAAAACCATGTAAAATCCACTTTCAGACTGGCTCTCTTAATTGGGACCCAGGACACCCGGCTAGGGCTTATTAGGATCATATTGTCCATTAAGAGGAGCCCTGGTGGCGCAGTGGTTAAGAGCTCGGCTGCTAACCAAAAGGTCAGCAGTTTGAATCCACCAGCTGCTCCTTGGAA